TCCAGCTTTTTCTGCTTATGTGGTGCTGAGGAATCGAACCCAGGGCCTCATGCATGCAAGGCAAGCGCTCTACCACTGAGCCATCTTCCCAGCCCTATTGATATTCTTTTGATAAAAGGTTATTTTCACTTAAACATGTTCTGTGTCAGGTAAAGTAGGAATGTTGTTCAAGTAGGAGTTTCTAGGTAGCTGTTAAAATAGTAAAAATAATGATAGTCCTCCAGACTTGGGTCTTTGCAGGGAGCATCATAGCCTTTTGTAGCCATCATAATTTCTAGTTTGTTGATCTCCAAAGCCATCACATACTTGGGATAGGTCACATTAAAGTGCCACAAACCTCATTGTCCTTACTGAGTGAGATTCAGCTGTTTACCTTGAATTTTTAAAAGTTCTTCAGTGTTGTAGTCTTTTGTTAATTTCCAGAGTTTAGTGTTCATTTTGACAATTACCTATATTATTTTTACTCTTACAATTTTAGTTCTTACATGACAAGGATTGTAGGCATGAGATTATGAGCAAATGTCACTAGGCCAACAATCTCTGTTGAGATAGTCCAGTGACCTTTTTTTTACTTTTTGATCCTGTCTGTTCTGGAATCTCAATCCTCCTGGAATCTCAGCCTCTCACGTAGTTGAGAGACAGGGACATGCCATTGCACCTACCTACTGTGATCCTCCTGATCTCTACTTCCCATGTAGCTAGAGTTACAGATGTGAGCTGCTGGCTTTGGCTCAGCTTCATTGTCTTTTTTTCCCCGTTTGTGTGTAAGTGTATATATGCATGTACATATGTATGTGCATATGTGTATTCTAGGGCTTGAACTCAGGGCCTGGGCACTGTCACTGAACATTTTTGCTCAAGACTAGTATCCTCTCAGTTGAACCACATATCTACTTGTGGCTTTTTTTGGTGATCATTTGGAGATAAATCTCAAGGACTTTCCTGCTGAAGCTTCCTTTAAACCACGATCCTCAGATTTCAACCTCCTGAGAAGCTAGGTTGCAGGTGTGAGCCACAGATTCCCTGCAGTTTCATTTTATGTGTGTGAATGTGCACATGCACACATGCACCTGGGCACTGTCCCTGAACTTTTTTGCTTTAGTGCCCCCCTCCCCCCACAGCTCCAGTTGTGGTTTTGTGGAGATAATTAATTGGAGATAAGAGTCTTATTGACTTTCCTGCCTGGACTGGCTCTTAGCCACCTGAGTAGTTAGAATTATAGGCATGAACCACCAGCATCCTGCAGCTTTATTGTCTTTTAATAGATAATACTGATACCAGAATGATTTCTGTTCTTGAAAGGCAATCTGATTTTTCCCTTCTTAGGTTAAAATTTCTAAAGAAAAGATTAGTAACCTTAAGGTTTCTAGTTATTTTGTTTTATTTCTCAAGATTAGTAAGAGTAAGCGATAATATAAACACTGATGCCTCACACTTGTAGTCTAACTTCTGAAAATGGGAGAATCACCATTCAAAGACAGCCTGTACAGAAAAATTTCAGAGACCCCTTCTGACTCCATAGCTGGATGTAGTAGTGGTATATAAGCTTTGTGGGAGGCTAACATTAGGAAGATGACGTATTTCCTCCATGTATCCCCAAAATGTTTTAAAGAAAGGAAGGGCTGGCTGAAGTTAAGTAATCTTCCCTCCTGTTGACATTATGCAGTGTTTTTAGATACTTAGATCAGTGAGTAATATCCAACTTCCTGAAGTGGTATATTCCCTCACTTTTAAACTCTTTTAAGTTTATGTAATTTTGAATTGGAATAGGACTTCCTGAAAATTTTGTGTATTTGTTCTATTTAATCAATCAGTTAAAAATAAACCTCAGGGCTATTTGTTGTTATAGTTTTGGTGATGAACTGTATATACTTATTTTATGCTTATAGTTCTTATCCTGTGTTTCCAAATTTATAACTATTTCGTTCATAAATTTTAATTTAGTATGTAACAACTTTTAAACTATACTATATATTCCACTATTCATTTATTTAGTGAAGTGTCCTTTTTTCAAAAAAACTTAGATCTTGTGTGGACAGTAATGACCTCACGTTTCCGATTGCCTGCTGGCAGAACCTACAATGTACGAGCATCAGAGTTGGCCCGAGACAGACAGCATACAGAGGTTGTTTGCAACATCCTTCTTCTGGATAATACTGTACAAGCTTTCAGAGTTAATGTAAGTATCTTCTCCTCTTCTGTTTCTGTTCCTCCTAATCACCTCTGGATAATAATCTAGATTTATTTTAAAAGTAGAAACATTAAATTGTAATACATTTTGAAAAGTCTTACTTAATTAAGAAAATGTTTTTAGCTGGGCTCTGGTAGCACATGCCTGTTAATCCTCTCAAGGAGGCTGAGATCTAGAGTACCATGTTTTGAAATCAGCATGTAGAGAAAAGCTTTGATACTCTCCAAAATAACCAGCAAAAAGCAAAATTTGTGGATTAGTGCAACAAATCAGTAGTCTGTGGGTGGTTTTTATAAGTGCACTAGAGGAGGGTGCCTGAAAGGAATTTGTTCCCTTAAGTAATTTATACTTTTCTATTGTAGTCTTGTACATCAGTCAGCAAAACTTTTTCTAAACAAAGATGACAGCTCTTATTTTAGTAGTATCTGAAATATTTATTCAACAAATCTTTGTTCATCCTGTTTGTGTCTAGCTCTGTTTGCTCCTTGTTACTTCTGAGTTTCACATATGTGATTTGTTAATAGTAATGGTCATTTTGATTGCAGTACATTGCCCTTTCATATAAACATACCAGTTTTTCCACTTGCTTACCAGTTTGCTTTTTCAATTTACTGTTGGTATATATTTGGATTGTTAACACAATGGGCAGCTATGAATAATAGCTTTGTGAACATTCTTGTAAATGTCTTGATAAATACATAAGGATATATACCCTCTTTTTATTTTATAATTTTAAACCTGTAGAAAGAGTGAAAGAGTTGGGCACCAGTACCTTACACCTATAATCCTAGCTACGCAGGAGGCTGAGAATTTCGGGTCAAAGCCAGCTCAAGCAGAAATGTCCATGAGACTCTTAACTCCAATTAACCACCAGAAAACCAAAAGTGGTACTGTGGCTCAAGTGGTAGAGTGCTAGCCTGGAGCTGAAGAGCACAGGGACAATGCCCAGGCCCAGAGTTCAAGACCCATGACCAAAAAAAAAAAAAAAAAGTAAAGAAAGAGTGAAATAATCTAATTTAATGAATATTTATCTCCTCTTTTTCTAGATTGATCTGATGTTAACATTTCACATATATACTTTATTTTCTTTTCTGAAAGCAAGTAGCAGACTTGCAAATAGCAGGACCCATAAGTACTTAAGCATCTTAAGAATTTTCTAAATTAACACAGTATCATTATAAAATTCTCTTTGCAGATCACATTAGCACATTATCCCCAAATTTATTAGGAAAATACTGGTATCTAATATGTCCATATTAAAACTCAAACTCCTAAATTATAAACCTCAACTATATTATTATCATCACTTTCCTGCTATATATATTCATGAGTATTTCTCTACTTTGAAAATTTTAAGTAAAATAATAATTATTTATTAGTTTGTTAAGTTTAGACTTTTATATATATTTCTGTATAGCAGGGTCATTGTTACTTTCAAATTCCAAACCATTTCATTTTGAAAAAGGCTTCAGCATGATAAAATTTGCATTCATAAGAGTAACTCTAAGGAGATTTTCCAACAGTTCATCATGCTTTCCTAAAATGTTAAACTTTTGGCCAGGTGCTGCTAGTCCACGCCTATAATACTAGTTACTCAGGAACTTGAGTTCTGAGGATCATGGTTTCAAATTCAGCCTGGGCAGGAAAGTCTGTGAGACTAGATCTCCAATAAATTACGAAAACGCCAGAAGTAGAGCCATGGTTCAAGTGGTAGAGAGCTAGCCTTGAGCAAAAGAAGCTTGGGGCAGCACCCAGAAACTAAGTTCAAGCCCTAGGACTGGCAAAATAATAATAATAAGTCTTTCAATTTAGTATTTCATTATTTATAAATAGACATGAAATGAAGGGAATTCTGCTTCATAAAAATTTCTGACTAAGGGCTGAGAAGGTGGCTCGTTGTAGAGCGCTTGCCTTGAATGCATGAGGCCCTGGGTTCAATTCCTCAGCACCACATAAGCAAAAAGAAAAAAGCCGGAAGTGGCGCTGTGGCTCAAGTGGTAGAGCACTAGCCTTGAGCTGAAGAGCTGAGGGACAGCGCCAAGGCCCAGAGTTCAGGCCCCACGACCGGACCCAAAAAAAAAAAAAATTCTGGCTAATAGAAACTCATAAGCCAGGTACCTAGTAGCTCATGCCCATAATCCGAGCTACTTAGGAGGCTGAGGTCTGAGGATTGCCATTCAGAGCCACCCCAGGCAGGACAGTATATGAGACTTCATATCTCCAATTAAGCCACTGCCCGCCCCCCCCAAAAAAAAGTTGGCATTGAAGCTGTGGCTCAAGTGGTAGAGTACTAGCTAGCTCTTTAGCAAAAACAAAACAAAACAAAAAACACCCTCTGGGACATTGCCTAGGCCCTGAGTTCAACTCCTAGGAATAGCACAAAAAGAAAAACAAAAAAAGAAGAAAAGAAAGAAAAGAAACTTGTATCAGATGGTTGATTTTAAAAAATTAACCTTTTTTTTCCTCCCTGTTTAACTCATTAGAAATCTTTGGGAGGGGTTATAAACTTAATTCCTATGTTAGGTATTAGTTCACATTTAGTTTTTATTACACTTCTGTATCTCAAAATATTTTAAAAGGATTTGTTATGTTTTCTATTTCATGTAATTTTTCTCTTACACTTTAGTTGACAGTAGTATATTTATTTAAGTTACATATGTTTTATATAGGCATATACACTTAACAGCTAGTCCTAATAGATATGATTACATTTTTCAAAATTAGCTTTACTTTGGTGTTCTTATTTAACCTGTGTGACATGGAAAGGTTGAGGAATACCACCTGCTCCAGGTACTATTATCACTGTATAAGAAATCACCCCAAAACCATGACATAAAGTAACCATTTGCTATGCTCAGGGACTCTGCTATTGAAGGATTTACACAGAAACATCTTGTATCTGCTTTTTTCTATGTCAGAGCTTAACTGGAAGACTTCAAAGGCTGGAGGTTATAATTACTTGAAAGCATGTTCAGTCATGTGGGCATTACCTGAAACCTCACAGATCTTTCTGTGTACCCTGAACTTCTTCATAGTACAATGACTAATTTCTAAGAGGGAACATTCTTAGAAAAGAGGGAGATAATACTGCTTTTTCTGATCTGGCTCTAGAGGCATATAATGTTATTTTATTGTTACCAAATTCTGCTTGGTAAGGTTATTAAAGTCACTCAGAGTCCAGAAAAGGTAAGTAGGCTTTCCCTTGATAAATAGTGTCAAGGTTCTGGAATATCATGGTAGATCAAAAAACTACCATGGATTTATTGAGAAAATGCAGTTTATCAATAGGCCCTACTGGTGGAGACATAATCTTGCCCTGATTTTGGTATGTGAATGTGCTCATGTTCCACCTTCATTTTATCTAGTAATTTTCTCCCAGAACTGTTGCTTGCTTCCTTCTTGTTCTTTGTGTTGTTTGAGTTCTTTCTCTTGATGTGTCCTACTTTATAAAATATCTGAATGTACAAGCATATAGATAATCAATACATATTATATACACATGTATATAGATATATACATGCACATATAATAAATATACATTTATACTCATAATACGTGCACACATGTGTATATAATTTATATGTATGTATATTATATATGATAGTCTATTGTTTTGTGTGTGTATATGTGTAAGGACATATGTATATAATTCTATATGGAAAAGTGGAAGGATATTAAACTTTTATAATAATACTTTATTTAATGTATAATTTAGAGAAGCTTTATAAGTTTCAGTATTTAAAGAAAAGAGAAAAGTTTGCTAATTGAGAATTTTTTATTTTATTTTATTTTTTTGTCAGTCATGGGACTTACTCTGGGCCTGGGTGCTGTCCCTCAGCTCTTCAGGTCAAGGCTAGCACTCTACCACTTGAGCCACAGCACCACTTCCAGCTTTTTTTTATTTCTGCTTATGTGGTGCTGAGGAATCAAACCCAGGGCCTCATGCATGCAAGGCAAGCACTCTACCACTGAGCCACCTTCCCAGCCTATCCACTTCAGTTTTGTAAGTGGTTTATAAAGATAAGAGTCTCACAGACTTTCCTGCCCTGGCTGGCATTGAACCTCGATCCTCAAATCTCAGCCTCCTAAGTAGCTAGGATTACAAGTATGAGCCACCAGCACCCGGCTAATTGAGAATATTTTTCACTTTTCATTTTTATTTGTGTATGCATTTTCCTCTCATTACTTTTTAGAAATAAGTTTGTCTTAAAAGTCCTTAAATTTTAAAACTCTTTGTTCTATAAATCTGTTTATCCAGTATGAATATAGATGATAATAGTACTTTAATTGTTGGTGAAAGATTTGTCACATTAGGGCTGGGAAGGTAGCTCAGTGGTAGAGCGCTTGCTTTGAATGCATGAGGCCCTGAGTTTGACTCCTCAACACCACATAAGCCAAAAGAAAAAAGCCAGAAGTGGCGTTGTGGCTCATGTGGTAGAGTGCTAGCCTTGAGCTGAAGAGCTGAGGGACAGCGCCCAGGCCCAGAGTTCAGGCCCTACGACCGGACCCAAAAAAACGATTCGTCACATTTTTCTTTCTTGATAGAGAATAAAGTATATATTCTAATCAGCTCAGAACTTAGGTTTTTGAACAGTTTTGTTGGTTGATGCTTTTATTTTTTCATCTGTTAAACTATTAGTTAACCAAGTCAGTAGTACAATTAGAATTAGACAGGTGAGAGGTGGATGGAGATTGACATAAGAAACTAAAGGAATACAAGCATAATGGGCTTAATTAAATGAAACATTTACTTGGAGTCATTCTTATTTAAATTTTAGAAAGGATCTTGCTATATAGTAAATCCAGGTTGTAAATCAAATTAGTGCTAAAAATAAGAGCCTATTTGATGTATTTAGTGACTACCTCCTTTTACATTAAATGTTACATATAATATTTACATTAAATATTACATTAAATGACCTCTTTTACATTAAATAACTGCAGAAGAAATAGCCAAGACTATCAGTTCTGAACTTTGCCATAAACAA